TGCCTATTATAGCCCACCCACTGACAGGTGCCATTGTAACTAGCTAATCAATGTTATTCACTTCACCTGTCAGTGGTCACAATGTTATGGCTGATCAGTGTACGTGACATTTGAGCAGAGTATAAGGATTTAGACCACTACTTCATCTCATCAGCCAAAATGATTGGTGTCATTTTTCTCCATTACAGAAATCAACAATCTTCTTGTGTGAAATCATTTGAAAATCAAGATGCTTTGCTTCCTGGCACAGGACATGCAGCACTCTGTATTTTGACTGAAAAATGTTTATAGCTGTCAACACAGTTCACTGTTGTCCTCTTTATCTATTGCTTTTTTTCATCACCAGCACAATAAGTGTCCTTTATAGAGGTACTGTAAAATACCTGTCTGAGCGTTGTCACTTGTCTTGTTGGGCTCAGCTGAAACTTGAAGACAATGGACCCTGTGAGAATTATAAGGCCTCAGGTGACATCAGTGCAGCTCTCTGATGGTAGACTGCAACCTTCATGAAGCCATCCTTTAAGAAGCTTGCTTTCTTGCTGCAAAAACTAGCACTTATTTTAGTGCCAAAGCAGCAAAATTGAATTGACTCTTCTGTTGCTGGTGTTCCCTTCAACAAACACATTTCACTGAATGTTCTGACTGAATATTTTGGGTAAAGGCCAACCAGACCAGAACATTTCAAAATAATAATAATAATAATAATAATAATATATCTTTTCATAGTTAGTTGTGGAAGATGAAATGCCAAATAATGAAAGGACAGTTGGGATCAGTTGGGTTCTTTGTCTCATTGTCTAACACAGGGAGTTTAAAAAGCTTCAATGAACATCACATAATGAGCTGGAAAATACAGACAGCTCTCATCAGACCTACAATAGTAGGTAGTTTCAGGGAGGACTAAGAAAACTAACATCTTTACATTTGAGAAGTTGGTACCAGTGAACATTTATGGTATGCTTATTATTATGTAAACAAATCAATTAACAACAACTTTCAAAATGGTTGCAATTAATTTCCATTCAATGAATAGTTTTCAGTCCTGCAGGGTGTTTCCACAAGGCACATTGAAAATTACTATAGGTAAGGAAATGTTCTTGCACTTACATGAACTGCTTTATGTTATGTTGGCATTTATCCTTTAAAGCAATATGTGGTGTTAGCATGAGGTTAGTAACAATGTAACACACCCATACTGTGTCTGTTTCTGAATCAGAAGTGTCCATTTATTGTGCAGTGCTGATGATGTGTCCATCTTGTTTTTAACCATCTGAAAAATTTGGACTTAAACATTTTCTAATGTACAGGTGTTACTGATTTTGAGTAACTGTTTTTGTGTAAGGATGTAAAACTTTGAAGCCATTTTCTTGGTTCCTACAACCTTTACAGTTACTCCTAAAAAACTCAAATCATGATACAAGTGCCTCTACACCTGACATGATACAAATGACTGTTATTTTGTGACCATGTAGAAAATCTGAGGTGCAGGAGCTGTGTTTGTCTTTACCAGGAACTTGTTTATGTTTCTGTACTGGCAGCATTGTTGTCTGTTAGCATGTAGACAATCTTCATCTGTCATCCACTGCACTCGCTTAGTGTACATAATCTGACAAATGCCTTGCAAAGAAAAGCTCAATTCAAACTGTTATGAGATCTCCGCTAGAGGACTGATGGCTCAAATGGATACACAGAAACTCTAAAGGTGGAGCAGTAAAAATGTCAATGTCTGTATTGTAGTGATTCTTGTTTAAGGCTATGTGTTTTCAGTCTGTTCATATACATACTGCTTAATTTGTCATTGCTGTACAATCACAGTTCACATAAAAGCAATTTCTGATTAATCATCTGTTTACAACATTCATCTCGTAGTTTCTTGTCATATGGTATGAAGTCATTTAGTTTTCTTTCTGTATTCCTTTTCTGACAAAATCCAAAATAACCAATTGTTTGTTATATAATATAAATGAGTTAAGTTGGGATTAACTTAATTCTTTTGTTAAATAAATTAATGCAGAGACTGGTTGTTCCTGGTGTTTAGTTACATATACATGAGCTCACTTACTGCTCAGTGCATATTAGTCACTATATTACACAAAGGGAAACATATGAAAGAACTTTATGGCTGTAATTAACACATGCTTTCTGTTCTAGTCACTAAGTGATCCACACCTCTGATTGATCATGCTGCCCTGTCAACCAACATGGGTTCATTTTAGTGACTTCTTCTCTCTTTGTTCAGTGTGATGGAACCAACCCAACAATCACAACCTCCTGCCCAGCATTTGGTCTCATATGCACTGTAATCAGATGTTAGTTTTTTCATAAAAAACATTTCACAGAGCATTGAATTTTAATATAAAATCTACTTTTATTAAATCAACAAACAGTAATAATGGCAGAGCTTTGATAAAAATAAATAGACAAACTCTGCCAGTGATGGTGACATGAGTAATATTTTTAACAAACTCACAAATGGCATCTTGAGTGTGTAGATCAAAACCCTCACACAAGAACTTCATCTTAACCAATCAAACTAACACAGCAGACAGAAAATCACACATCTCCAAATAGTTTTGTGTTATTCACTAGAACTCATGTATTTTTTTAAATGAAGACAATTAAAATAAATGAATGTCCCTAAATTCTTCAGTCCAAACAGTGTAATCAACCTATAAACAGATTACACAGCATAAACAAATCAACGCAAACTACACAAACTAGATTAAATGTTAATTAAATGTTATTTTACATTGTATTTATCTTTTGTGTGGAGTTGTGACGGACAGTGATGATCATAGCTGAACACAACAATAGAATGTCTGTGAGGTCAGTACACCTTACATTTGCGTACTACATTACAATTATTAGCTCTGACAGGCATGTGTCTAAATACATAACTAGCATCAATTCATGGACACTTACTGTATGTATGAGACTAATTTCAGGCTGTAACTGACAGGACTGTACTCAATATGCCTGGTACTAGTGTTTCCAAATACGACGTGTGTAAGTGTGTGTACACACTTGTTTGGCTGTTCTTGGGAGAACCCACTTTTGACAAGTAAAGGGAGGCTACTTTTACTAACTGAGGTCATTTAGTCCAAGTCTCAGGGGTTATTCTCAGGTTACAGGTTGGCAGAGACATGTTTGACATTAGGTTCAAGTTGAGGAGGGAAACAGCAGGGCTAGTAGTGTGATACACCCTCCATAACACCATTCTGTGACAAATTTTGTAAGCAGATGTAGGAAGTGCTGAAGACATTTGATAAATTACATCTCCCAAAATGCCTCAACAATGCCTCTGCATTCAATAAAATATTCATTTGTAGGAGAAACGAGACATGAGGACAGTGATGGCAACAGTCAGTTTCCTCAGTCAAAAACCTTGAGCATTGCCTCAAGAAACCCAAACTGTCCTACAGCTGCAGTGCATTCTGGTCGTTTTCCTGTTGCTGTGGATGTGTAAACTTGTCTCTGCACCACTACAATTCATTTCTACCTGCATTAGTGACTGTTGGAAGCCCCTTCCCCAGTGCTTCTCAATTAATGATTGACATTTTAAATTGCTAATTTTCTGATGAAAAGATAAAGCAATAATAACCAAAACAGAAGAACAAAACACTCTGACATGAAAAAAATGACCAAGAAATGCAAGAGGCACATCACTGTTTCCAACTCACAACAATGTTACAGTTGATATTTCTTTGAAGGATATGGAGTGCGGGATGAATGTGGACATCACAAGTTTAGTCAAACAAATGTTCATGTAGACAGATGGGGCAAAACATTATGAGCACTCACAGATGAAGTAAATAAAGCTATTCATCTCATATACTGTATGTCAAGGTCTGGGATATATTAATTGCTACATGAACAGTCATTTGGAGCATCTGTGAAACGACAAGACTTGTGCGGTGCTCCCACTCAGCAATGGTGAGGATCACTACAGGTATAGTAGATGGATAGATGGATGGATGGACAGATGGATAGATAGATACTTCATGTGAAATTCATGTGTCCATTACCTCATTGTTGATAATAATAATAATAATAATAATAATAATAATAATAATAATAATAATAATAATAATAATAATAACAGTTCATAATAAATAAACAATAATAATTAGAATAGTCCACTTCCTTTGGCTGAGGTGTTGTATAGCCTGATGGCAGTGGGAACAAAGGATCTCCGGAACCTCCTGCAGCGCAGTGAGATGAGACGTTTGCTGCAGCTGTAGCTGCTTCTCTGTGCTGCCAGAATGTTGTGGAGAGGATGTTTGGTATTGTCTAAGATGGCCTCCATCTTACATTGCATGCGTCTCTCCACAACAGTCCTGAGTGAGTCCAGACTCCTGCCAAACACAGACCCAGCCAGACTTGACAACAGTGTGGAGGGAGTTGCAGCTGCAGTGTCAGGTTGTGGAGGAGATGCCGTAGGAGAAGCTGCAGCTGAAGCAGTGGGAGAGAGAACAGATGAGGCTGTGTCAAACCTGTTGTAGAACAGGTTGAACTCATTGGCCTTGTCCACATCACCTGATGTTGCCTGGCTCTTCTTCTCTTTATAGCCAGTGATGGATCTCATCCCCTTCCACACCTCTCTGGTGTTGTTGTGCTGAAGCTTCCTCTCTACTTTCTTTTTGTTGTCCTCCTTCGCCTGCTTTAATCTCCTCTTAAGCTCATGTTGCAAACACCTGAGCTTCTCCCTGTCTCCATCCCCGAAGGCCTCCTTTTTCTGGTTGAGGAGGGGGTTGATATTACTTGTGATCCAGGGTTTGTTGTTTGGAAAGCAGTGTACAGTCCTTACTTATTATTACAGTGTCCATACAGAAGGTAATGTAGTCCGTGGTACATTCAACCATTATATCAAGGTCAGGGTCCTTGCTGTTATCATTTTTCCTGTCACTCCAACAGTACATTCCAATCTGTGCACTCAAAACAGTCCTTTAGAGACTCACTGGCCTCCGGGGTCCAGTGCTGAATGAGCGGGTGGTTGCAACATACACAGTACACAGGGCTTGTAGGAAGGCTGAAGAAAAAACAGATTATGATCTGATCTGCCAAGTGGTGGTAAAGCTGAAGCAATGTAGGCCTAGATAGGAACTATTTGGCAGCACGCAAAGGACAAACAGTATATTACACAGGGGCAGTCATAATGTTTTAGCTCATCAGTGTGTCAGTGTGTGTGTGTTATCTGCGGATCCACAGCCAGGCATTTAGAAGGCAGGCGGAGAAGAGCAAGGAGAACTGTATGACTTCTGTATTCCTCCGTTCAGCATTGTGTGTCTCAAGTACTGCCAGCCGGCGACTCATCTTCATCACCTACACAGGTATGCAGAGACAGACAGAGTGCGGAAGAAAGAGATGGGAAAAGTGATGGTGAACAAACAAGGAATGAGCCAAATGGGCTTTTCCACTGCGTACCTGTCTCCTGAGGATGATGAACTCAACTGCAGCTCCTCCCTCCTCTTCTAGGCTCCAGTTCTCCATTGTACTGAATAGAGAAAAGAGAGACAGATACATATCATTATTATTATTAGGGCCCGAGCATCAAAGAGTGCGAGGACCCTATTGAAACTGTAGTGTTTATTATTATTCCTGAATGAAAATTGCCTTTTTGAGGGCTTTATCATGCTTGAAAACTCATGAAACTTTGCAGGTCAGGCATGGCGAATATGTTGATATTTTATGAGTCTTGGCTCGATAGCGCCCCCTATTGTGGTGATACTCTCACTGTGTGTCACCTACATGCACAGAACTTGGTAGGCACATGTATTATGCCAAAAACTACAAAAAACATTATTACAACCCATACCCTAAACCCAACAGGAAATCAGCTTTTTAGATTTTTGTGATTTAAAGACATCATACTTTAACAAACTCCTCCTTGAAACTGTTGTGTTTATCAGGGCCCGAGCACCGAGGATGCGAGGACCTTCTTGAAACTGTTGTGATTATTATTTTTAACCGAAATGAATCGCCTTTCAGGCATCATATTCCAAAAATCATGAAACTTTGCACACTCGTCAGGCCTTGTGAAAATGTACTTATTTTATGAACATGGGTGTGGCAAAATGGCTCTATTGCGCCATCTAGACCATTTCACAGAGGCCCTTCATACCCCAACATGCTGTAACTCCAGCATGCATTGTTCAAACTGCCCAAAACTTAATGTGTTTGATAAGATTCCCGGCCTGACGATATCTACATGCCTATATTTAGAAATACTCATAGTGCCAACAAATGGCAACACAAAACATCATGTTTTACTATTTGATATACTCCTTCTAGCAGGTTCACCACAACCACACTGATGCTTTATTGTGAAAATTGTGAGATTTCAATTTTGATGTTTCACCATGAAACAGGAAGTCAGCTCCTTCTAGAGAATTAATCATATTGACATCATATTTCATCTGTCTAATCTCAAGACCTTTGCGATGTTTGTACGTTTTACCTAGATGTATTAAATTTGGTAGGTGTATATCACATTTAGTTCTACAAAGAAGCCTCTTGGACCCATACCCTAAACCCAACCAAAAGTTCGCCATTTTGAATTTAGTGTGCAATTTTGGTGAATCTTTTGGCCATTTCCAGGCATCATATTTTAACAAACTCCTCCTACAGTTTTAATCAAATCAATTCCAAGTTTGGTCAGTATAATCTTAAAACCTTTGCGAAGCTAGATTGCAAAGCTTTTTCAGGGTCATTGAACAGGGTGTCCGTGGAGGTGCGGTGAATTTCACCACGACAAAGGAATGTCATGCCTACAGAGCCAACAGGTAAACGGGGAATGCCATTAACACAGCCCTGCACACTGCACTGTCCTATCTGGAACACCCTGGGACATATGTGAGGATGCTGTTTTTGGACTTCAACACAAACATCCCCAGCAGAATGGAGTCCAAAATGTTGGACCTGCTGACCATGAGCCAGTACACATGCAGCTTGATCAAGGACTTATGAACCAACCATCACAGACAGTCAGGTGGGGGAAAGCCACCGCTCTTCCTCCCTGACACCCAACACTGGAGCCCAGAGTGTGTGCTGAGTAGTCTTCTGTTTTCCCTTTACACATACAGTATGACTGTACACCAACTCACAGCACAAACACTACAATAAAGTTTGCGGACAACACCACTGTGGTTGGACTTAATGGTGATGAGTCTGTCTACCGGGATGAAGTCTGCAGATTGACAGAATGGTGGAAACTGTAGAAATGTGTGGAACCTGTAGAAATGTGTGGAACCTGCTCCATTACACATCAGAGGAGACACAGTGGAGAGAGTGTCTTCCTTCATATTTCTAGGTACACGCATCTCCCAGGACCTCACATGGACCCTAAACGTCACTTCTCTGATGAAGAAAGCACAGAAGCGGCTGTAGGACAGGACATTAAAAAGAGCCAACCTATCCCAACAGCTGCTTCAGTCTTTCTATCATTGCAACATTGAAAGTATTCTCACCCATATGGCGTTTTTATACTATTTATTGTTTTATATTTACTTATATATATTGTAACGTGTCTACTTGTCTATAGTTATGTTTACTCATGTTGCTATGTTTACTGTATGTACCACAGGATACACTTGATTTCACTGTACACTGTGCAATGACAATAAAGTTATTGAATTGAAATTATTGTGGGATACCAGGAAAGTTTCAACTACTTGTCTGAAAGAGACACACTCATGGTACCATAACATTATGATTCCACAGACTGCATCAAAAGCAACTAATACCCAGGACACATTAAAGATGCAGTGCAGTGATTACTCAGCAGTTTGGGTGGTACATTATGACACAAACATGAGAGTATTTTGAAACATACAGTTTTCCTTTCAGTCACCTTTTCTCAATTTGATCCACACGTGCTGAAGCAGGGACCTCAGGCATGACTCTCACTGGTGGAGGCTTCTCTTGGTTGTTAAACCTTAATTCCAACAAGACAGAAAGAAAAACTGCAGTCTGGCACTCCAACAACATGACAGGTAACCGGCAGGGACAATGCAAAGATTTTAGTGGCTAGTGACGGGCGATGTTAGCTGAGAGCAAAACAGATGACGAGGAGCATGATGAGAGTAGTGGGCAGTGAGTAATGAAAGCAGATAATGACTGAAAATAGGACACGCTGTCACAGAATTCATCCCTTACAAACATCTGTTGACACCACCAAGCAAGACATTATGATTTAAATCGAAGCAGGTGCATGTTGATTTTTCCACATGGTCTAGCTGGGTAGTTTACCAACTACAGAAAAGATGATTTCATCAGCAGCAAATCTCTACCAATACAAAAAATATTTGACGTGAGATCTGTGTCTGGATCCTTGGCCAGTAGTGAGTGATGTTATCATGAATAAGAACATGAAACTAACAGCTGAGGCATGGACATACTTTCCACAGACAGTGGCAGTGACTTTTCTCTGGTCGCTCGGATGTGCACACGCTTCCACTCAAACTACAATTGAGGATTTGTGTGGGTCTGGTGTTCCACGCATGCACATTTCCCGATCTCCACTCCAGTTGGTGGCAGAAATGCACAACAATGTTTTTTGCCAACCGCTATAAAAATCAAGATGTAGAAGAAGAGAACAAGAGGAAGGCAAAAAAAAAAAAGAAAATATAATGTGTCGCCAGCTAACAAGAATAGGAGAATACAGCCAGGAGTTCAAAACCATTTGGCTCTTTGTAACTTCCAAAGAGTATTGATATAAATGTGGCTTACACTGGATGTCCACACACAACCTCTTTGCAAAACAAGAATCCATTTTGTTATCTGGAGCATGCACAGTCGGCGCACTTGTTATGTGGATAGTTCTGTGCAGACACAGATTTTAGGCTGCGTGGATGTCCCCACAGTAGTCCACGCAAATTCTGGCGGACATGGGGGGGTGACAACATTTACACTAAGTGAAACCCAGCAGAAGGTATGAATTGGCATTTACTGGGTGCTGCCAAGGCTAAAAGATCATCTAAGATCAAAATGAATGCAAGACTTGATGAGTGGCCGACAAGGACCCGTGGAAGACAACACATGTACAATAAAAAAAATAAAATTTAAAAAAAAAAAAAAAAAGTTAAATACATGAAGGGAGCACTCACTTAGTAACATAAGCAAATGTAAAAGTGTCTTTTTTTGTTTCTATTGGGAGAAAAAAGTGTTTATAAGCCAGAGAGGTGGGAAGTGGAGACACTGAAGTTTTAATACAGAGGATTTACTATCTGCACCTGTATGTCTTTCTATATGTGGGTTCCCGGACTTAAAACTTATATCTGGAACTTTTGACAAAACCTCCCCCAGACCCATAAATGAATAAGATAACTATATTTTTTTCTGGGTTAGCTAACATACTTACATAATCCATAATGCATAATGCATATATGTGTGCCTCTAGCCGGCAGAACAAAGAGTAATGTTAATGCTGTGTAATTAGCTTACAAACTAAAACAAAGTTCACTGTAGGGTGAAACTTCTACAGTGGCTTCTACAGGGTTCAACATGCTGCAACTTCAGAAAAAAAAACAACCTTTTTTGGGTTGTGTGTATGTGCATGTGTTTTCTGAAGTTGCAGTGCATTGAGCTCTCTCGGCCAGTGTGGATTTCTGTTATATTAGTAAGAGGGGGTAGGTCAGAGGTTCCAAATGAGAAATGGGTGACTGAACTCCAAAAGGGCAAAACAACCTCCACATTACTCTGAACAGCTTCTAAACAGCATAATATAATTTACTTTTTTAGCCAGGCAATGGGTCCAATTACTTTAAGGCATCATTTCTTTTTAGGACGCTGCCGGATAATTTAATGTATTGTCTTTTTGGAAGTGAAATAATTTCACTTTCAAGTATTTCTCAATTAGAGATGAATCCTGCATATTTTGGGATAGAATGAGAGCTCCTTGGATGCTTTAAAATATGACTCAGACCTGTATTTCTGGCTGACCATCTGCAGGAGGTGCTGTGAAGTCTGCAGGCCCAGCCGCCTGGCTGCCTGCAGCATGGAGTGTGGAGACTGGCAGCCCAGGGGGGTGGCAGGGAAAGGCTTGGTCTGGGGGTCGGTGGTCTGGGTGGAAAGAGGAGCAGTACAGCTCTGGCGGACATGGCGACCTGAACCTCGACTACAGCCAAGAGAAGTAAAGGGAGTCCAGAGGAAAGGAGGAGGAGGAGAACATCAACATAGGTTGACATTAAAGATAAGAGACAAGGGAAATAATAAGTGAGGAATGTAGGAAAAGTACAGCAGGGAGCAGGCAGGTGGAGGGGCAGTAAGGAAAAGAGGAAGAGGGAAGTAAAAAGACAGGTGGAGAGAACAACAGAGAATGGAGGGTTAGAGGTGAGGATAGGAAGAGAAGGTGGAAAAATACCAATTCGGGAGGAATACGCTAATGGCATACAGGTGCATACAAGAAGTGTTTTGTGCCCATCAGCTGCTATGGTGGCATAAGATTTCAAAATAAGTTTTGGAATTCAAGAAAACTGCAGATCATCCAAAACACAGCCTAAGATGTGAAATAGAGCATAGTCCTTTTATTTGATTCCTTTAATGTGAAAATAGACAACTTATTTGGTTTAACTTATAAATAAATAAATGTTAATTGCATAATCTAATGGCTATAGAATGACACCATCTGGTTTCCTATAAGCCTGATTTTCATTATGGAATTCTATTTACCACAAGGCACAAAATTTCTCAGAAAAATGAAGGATTCATTTACAAAGCAAGTGTGCCTGCCATTGCCCAACCAAAACAGAAAGAGAATAGTGCTTTTGTTTTCTCCAGTAGCTCTCAGTAGCTTTCCCCGGGCAGTGGAAAAAGAACAGGAGTAACTGTGGAAACTATCCAACAAAAGAAAGAGAGTCCCGCTGTTGGAGGAAGCAAAGAAGGTGAAGAGGGAGAATGACAGAAACCAAGATAAAACAAGAGCATCAGACAGGCAGTCACTAGATAGAGAGCGCCACGGAAATTCAGCCCTGGAACTGGCTGGTACCGATTTAACAGATATTTTTACTGTCCATTGATGCAGTGGCCCAACCAGGTCTTGTCCCAGGAGTCCAACTATGGAGAGAGCACTGGGATTCGACAGGGTTCAGAGCTGACACTGAATTGGCCTTATTTCTACTAGATCAGTAGCAAAACCTATCTACTTATTAATACAACCAGGTGTTTCACTCCTCCTTTATCACAGCACTAAGATCAGGGTTTCTAATTTAAATTGGGATTCTTATGGTTGTTTTTTGCTTTGGGTAGTAGCCAGGCTGACAGAATTTCTGTAACAATACCAAACAATTTGTTTTTTGCCTTGCCTCGATAAGCTGTCGTGTTTAACTTATTTGAGAAAATGTATCAATACATGTGACAATTGACAAATCTTTGAGGTTATTTATCAAGCAAAAATGGCTAACATTTTCTGTTTCCAGTTTCACCAATTTGAGGATGTACATTTCTTCATATTATATCATTGTAACCTGAATCTTATAGGCATTTTTCACTATTGTCTGGCATATTTTGACTAAATGATTACTGGATTAATCAAAAAAGTAATGGAAATATTTCTTAGTTGCAACCCTAAATAAATAAAGAACCCACAGAATCTAACCAAGCATTAAATACCAACTTTCTAGATGTGACTGTTCTTCGTACTCAAAGCAACAGACACATTTTGATCCGCACCTCAAAAAGAGCTGACGCCAACACCCAGCACTACTTTTAGTTTTCACATCACATAGCTGACTAGCAAGTAAATGTGAGTCAGCTGCTAAGGTTAAATTGTGCTTCAAAGGTAACCTCAAGTCTGTTTTTCAGTTTATTGAATAGTTCACACAGAAGAAGACACAAACAGGAATGCTGGATCGAGCCAGATTAACAGTAGCTTTGAAGGCACAGATGTCATATATACAGTCATGGCCAAAAATATTGGCACCCCTGCACTTCTTTCAGATAATGCACCATGTCTCCCAGAAATTTGTTGTAATTAAAAATGCTTTGGTATTGACATGTTTATTTCTTTTGTTTGCATTGGAACAACACAAAAAAAAACGGTCCAAAAATGGACTGGACAAAATTATTGAAAGATGAAAGATTGCAACGAAGGATTGTTGGAATGGTGGATAAAGAACCTCGATCAATTTCCAAACAAATTCAAGCTGACCTGCAGACACAGGGTACAACAGTGTCAGCTTGCACTATCTGTCACCATCTGAATGAAATGGGACGCTATGGCAGGAGACCCAGGAGAACCCCACTGCTGACAAAGAGACATAAAAAAAAACAGACTGGAGTTTGCCAAAACTTACCTGAGGAAGCCAAAATCCTTCTGGGAGAACGTCCTGTGGACAGATGAGACCAAAATAGAGCTTTTTGGTAAAGCACATCATTGTTTTGTTTACAGAAAATGAAATAAGGCCTTCAAAGAAAAGAACACGGTCCCTACGGTCAAACATGGTGGAGGTTCACAGATTTTTTGGGGTTGCTTTGCTGCTTCTGGCACTGGATGTCTTGACTGTGTGCATAGCATCATGAAATCTGAAGACTACCAAAGAATTTTGGAGCGCAATGCAGTGCGAAGTGTCAGAAAGCTTGGTCTCCATCAGAGGTCATGGGTCTTCCAGCAGGACAATGACCAAGAGCATACTTCAAAAAGCACCCAGAAATGGTTTAAGACAAAGCGCTGGAGGGCTTCCGGTTTTTGACGAGCTAAGCAATGGCAGCATATGAAACTTGCACCCGACATTTTGAGTAAAAGGTTGCCCACAACAACCCGAATACTTAAAAAACTTGAGTACAGTTGGACTTAGGATTGTGGGTCTTGAGAATGCCTAAATATAAGATGAAAAAGTCAATGCAGTCGGAGCCATTAGAGAAAGATGAAGTTAGCCGGGGGCCCTGGCTAGCAGCGTAATGAAGGACGATGGTGTGGAATTGGACCACGCCCAAGAGCAGATGGAAGGAGCAGGTCTGGGTCTTATACTGAAAGAACTTAGGGAGTTTAGGAAGGACAACAGTCAGCAGCTGAAAGAGATTCGTGAAGAAATAAACAAAACTAACACTAGAATCGATGAGGCTGAAAAGAGGATCAAGAATACAAGTAAAAGTGGCGCAAGAAGCGGTTACGGAGCTCCTGAAACTACAGATACACCAGGATGCAAAGCTGATGGATTTGGAGGGCCGCTCCAGAAGAGAGAATATTAGAATCCAAGGAGATAAAGAGGGAGCGGAGGAGGATTCTCCATTGATGGTATGTTATGTTCAGCACTTGCTGCGGGAGGGTCTGTCTTTATGGATGCATATGCTTCAGGCTCAAACCAAAAAACCATCGAGACTTTATAGGGGTTTACAACAAATCAACGGTAGCTCACTGCATGTAAAACAGAAATGGGAGAGGGAAGGAAACCTAGTTCTAAGTTTCTTTTAAGATGGAAAGAATTACCTTTGCCATAAGACTACAACAAGGTGTGTTTTTGAAAAGATGGGAAAGATGGATTATGTCTGTCACATCGGTAAGACCATCTTTTATCTAATGTTAAGTTTTATGTCCCTTTCCCTTTTCTTTTTCTCTTTTAACCCTTTTGTAAAGGTTTTTTTAGTATCATAAAGGTGCACCCCAGCCTTCCTGTTCTAGGGAGTTTAGTTCTTTTTCTGTATTTTATAGAATTCATCTCTTATATTTTGGTGGAAGGACCAATCATTCATCACTGTATTATTTATGGAATCGCAAATATACTGCTGTGTGATTCAGTTGTAGTTTACAGACGAATGGTGAACTGTAATGTTAATGAACATGTGAACCATGTAAAATCATAATAAAAAGAGAATTTTAAAAAAGACAGCGAGTCCAGATCTAAATCCCATAGAACACCTGTGGAGAGATCTCAAAACAGCAATTGGGAGAAGGCACCCTTCAAATCTGAGAAACCTGGAGCATTTGGCAAAAGAAGACTGGTCCAAAATTCCAGTAGAGAGGTGTCATAAACTCATTCATGGTTACAGGAAGTGATTGATTTCAGTTATTTTTTCCAAAGGATGTGCCACCAAATATTAAGTTAAAGGTGTCAATAATTTTGTCCAGTCCATTTTTGGAGTTCTGTGTGGAATGATATCAGATTTGGCTTTTTTTCTCTGTTTTTTTGTGTTGTTCCAATGCAGACAAAAGAAATAAACATTGAATACCAAAGCATTTTTAATTGCAATAAATTTTTGGGAGAAATGGTGCATTATCTGAAAGAAGTGCATTTTTGGCCATGACTGTAGCTATAGTAAAACTCTGGCTTCACCTGGAGATCCTGTGGGAGTAGAGCAGAACTCTGGCTCTCTATGCTGTTAACAGACAATAGAGAATAACTGCAGGAGGAGACAGAAAGCCCCCACAGCCGTGGACTTTTGGACCCCGCTGTATATGTTTAAATACACGCACGTGCGTGCACACACGCACGCACACGCATGTGTGTCCAAATGTTCTTATTCACTTATATGCATGTATGTGTTCCAAATTTCTGTTAAGTGAAGGAAAGAAATTCTGACACAGCATTTGTTGTAGAATCATAGTTAGATAAACAGAGCTGATTTGCTCCAGCTGAATCAATGCTAAATAGCAGAAAAAACTATTCACACAAACTACATGGGTAATCTTACAGTACTTACGAGCTTGATGGATGTCTGGGCACTGCCAGAGCCTGTTTCAGCTGGGTTGGTGTGCTAGGCGGCGTCCTGCCAAAGCTTTGGTCACTGTAAGATCTCCGTATGGGACTCTGTCAAACAGTTAGAGACATATTCAGCAGATAGGTTTCTTTAAAGGTGTAATACAACACCTGCTCTTTACATTGGTAATTTAAAAACAGAAAATCCTGTTCTTAATATGGACCAATTCCTTTTTTTCTAAAGTATTTTTTTGGGGCTTTTTTATGCCTTTATTCGATAGCACAGTAGAGAGACAGGAAATGGGGAGGCAGAGAGAGGGGGAATGACATGCAGCAAAGGGCCGTCCAATGCGAGACTCGAACCGGAGGCAACTGCAGCGAGGACTGTAGCCTCTACACATGGGGCGCCTGCTTAGACCACTACGCCACGTGATGCCCCAATATGCTCCCGTTTAATACACATCACCCTCTCTCACCTGGACATCAGCAAGGGGAATAACGTATGCCTGCTTTTTATTGATTACCGCTCCTGTTTTTAATACCCTTGTCCCGCACAGACTGATCCCTGAGCTCAGGAGCCTGGGGTTGAGCTCTTCACTCTGCCCCAGACACAGACCACAGGTGGTGTAGGCCGGCACCTGCACATCCAGCAAATGCACCCTCAGCATTGGTCGCTTTTCTCCCTATACAAACATGATTGTACTCCATCAACATAGTGAAATTCGCTGATGACATACTGGTGGAGGGGCTGATTAAGGATAACAATGAGGCAGCCTAGCGGAGCAAGGTGGAGGGGATAGCATCATGGTATATGAGCAACAATCTAGCCTACCTACCTCCCTTCTGGCAGACAGATCTGCTCCCTCAAAGCAAGAACTGAAAGCAGGGAGATTCTTCCCCAAAACTATATGAGCCATGCTGTCAGCTTTCGCTGCATAGTTGTTTGGCTGTACATAATGGCTATAGGAGGTCTACTTTTAGCTGCTTTTATTGCCGTATTTAAACAGTTTTAAACTGATATTACCTTATTTATATAATTTTTGAAGCACCTGATGTCAATTAGGGATCCTGACATAAATGGAGGGACCTGGGGAGTGGAGAGCGCTGCTGCTCATTTGCTACACGTATGTGAACTGCTTGAGGGGTGGACTCTCCTCCCCATGTGGTTTTCGGTTTTGTTGTTTTAGTTTCTTATGTTAGTTTCTGGCTTGGAGATCACTGGTAGTTCAGTTATCGGTTTGTGTTTTGGTTTAGTTTGGTTTGCGTTAGGCAGTTGAGAGGGGAGTACCTGATTGCGACTGCCCATGGCGTGGCTGGTTTAGCTCCCCTTCTTTTGTTCTTTTTGGCCAGGATCTCCATCTCTCTTTTGTATTCTGAGTATGTTTTTTCCTGTGTTTAAAATAAAAAAAATTCTTGTTCTTGGCATCTCTGTCTGGCATCCTTCATATGTTCCAGTCTCCAGTTGAGCCTGTTTTCTTAGGGAGGCTGTAACAGGGTGTTTATAGCTTGCAGTGTTGCCAACTCACCGTCTCTCGATTTAGAGACTTTTTTTCAAATAAGACTGGGTATAAACCTGGACCATGTATGGATGCCAACCGGGGGCTTAGGGCAACACCTCAACCGAGCTGCCTCTGGATTCCTGGCTGCTTGGAAGCTGCAGAGAAGTGGAGCATTTCCAATGCACTTTGCCTCCATTACAGCAAATAAACTCCTTTCATTACATGTATCATTATTACTAAAGGAGGCAGAGGACTAACTTAACCTAAGACTCACAGAGGAGAGAGAGCGTTGGGAGAGGGAGGGAGGAGAGTAGTCATCGCTAACTGCTAAAGAAACTCTGCAGATCTGAATAGCATGTACTCAACAGAAACACCAGAAACTGGAAATGAGATAATACACTTACTGCAGCACAGCAATAAAAGCCCTGTTAAGAAATAAAGGGTTTCTGTCCAATGAAACGCTGGAGGGCTTTTAATATGAAACGGTTAAAGGAAGTGTTGAATTTGTATTAACACGTAATACAGTAACTTTGACACAGCAAGTGGTAGCGACTGGAAACAAGGCTTCATACTTAAATACCGCTATGACCAATTATACATATCAAACAGAGGGAGTTCGAAATAAAGACCTGTCTCTAATACAAGTCTGTTACGTTCTGGAGTTGAGGTGAATAAAGGCTAAACTATTGCCTATGCTGTGCTACAGTGCAGACGTGTTTTCCTCAGCTCTCTCTGCTTTCTATATGCTTTGTGCCTGCATTTTAATTTCCTACAGGCTACTTTTCCAAAGAGAACTATAATTACCGTCTATACCAGTATCAACGAAAACCTCTATAGTGGATTTGCTGAAAGTTTACTTGTTGGACACAGTCCCAAAACAAACTCACCTGCTACTCCAGCCTGGCAAAGCTTCTCTAACTGGCAAAAGACAACATAATCGAAAACCCTGCAAAATCGGTAAACTGCTCGGATTGTGAACGACTTATTGAGAGGATAATGGAGCTTGAGAAGAAGATTGAAATGCTTTATCACATACATGAGAGTGAGCAATACAGTGAGCAAGGCAGTGTGGTTCCCAGTTTCGGCAAATTATATTTATAAAAGATTTATATTATTTTTTATTGTTTTTCTGTTGGTAAAAGTGGTACTGCAGCCTAAACGATAAGAGATTATGGCATGAAATTTGAAGGGCTGGTAAAAGATCCCTGCAAGTACCTCGGACACCAAAAATGACCCATGTCCACCAATAGGTCGCACTATAAATGAGGACGAAGCGTTTTGGCCTCTGACTCCCAAACCATACATGGCATGGCACATTCAAAAACCTTATATGGGCGTGTTCAGTGAAAGTAGCTGAAAGTCGTAACATAGGCCCATTTGCGTCTGTAAAATATTTTCACAAAATCATGAAATTCTAACTCCTCCTCGGCATCGAGTCCGATTGGCATGAAACTTGGCAACTCCGGCACTCACGGATGAAATAATTAGAATTTGGTGGTCAAAGGTGAAAAGTCAAGGTCACATTGACCTCAGAACACACTTTTTAGCCGTTACTGAAGACTAACACTGGCAGACAGAGTTGGTTGCATCCTTTACCGATTGGTGTGTATCTCTAACTTTATTTTTTGCAACAAAGTATTCTGCAGGATAAGGCTCCCACAGCATGTCCTGCACTTCGTTGCTAGCGTTGTAGTATCGCTCGCGATCACCCTCCACCGATTGCCGTGTACGTAAACACAGGGACTTGCATTATCGGTCTGCTATGTCCATTTCTGACTCTGGGTCCGGTTCTACGGATCTTAAAACCAACAGCCGTCAGTTTGTCTCTGCATATATCGGGGGATCCTTGGTTGGTGTGTGCGTGTAGGTTGTGCATGTGTATGTGTGTGTGCATATGTGTTTGTGCATATGTGTGTGTGCGTGACAGAGTGACGTAGAGGGAGGGGGTGGACTCACAGCTCTGTGTGTGTGTGTGTGTGTGTGAGAGAGAGAGAGAGAGATGTAGAGGGAGGAGGAGGACTCACAGCTGTGTCTGTGTCTGTGTGTGTGTGTGTGTGTGTGTGTGTGTGACAGAGAGACGGAGAGGGAGGGGGAGAACTCATAAGGTAATATGCTTTAAGAACTTACGTTTCTCACACATAGTCATCAAAACTTGTTGCTTATGAATAAGGTTGCATGATGACCTATTCCTTTAAACCCATTCAACCATTTAAAGTTTCATAAAGGTATTATACATACCCCCCTCATACATTAGTACGCATCTTTAACATACCCCCCTGGGAAAGTCTACTACATTAACATTACATTCCCACTCCCATCCCCTCATTAGCATAACCTTGATGACCTCTAGACAATAGGGGGTCATCCATCAAAAATGGTGTATATACCTCTCTGGCCCGTTCATCACTGCTTGCAGCTTTAAGCATTGAACCCTGTTGTAACTGTAGTGTTTATTAGTGCACAAGCACTGAGTGTGCCAGGGCCCCCAAGCACTGACAAGCGGTGCGAGGACCCTACTGTAATTCATACGTTTATTATTAGTGTATTATTAGTGAGTCTTGTAATTGTAGTGTTTGGACCCTTTTGCAATTGTAGTGTTTATTATCATTCCTAAATGAAAATTGCACTTTTGAGGACTTTCCCGTGCTCAAAAACTCATGAAACTTTGCACACGAGTCCAGTCTGGTGTAAATTTCGATATTTTATGGGTCTCACCCATGGGCACGGCAAAATGGCTCAATAGCACCACCTATTGTTGCACAAATCACACAGGGTTTCACCTACTTGCACAAAACTTGGCAGGCACATGTACCATTTCAAAACCTACAAAAAACGTATTCCAACCCATACCCTAAAACCAATATTTTGCCGTCAACCTGCAATTTTTGCGATTTCAAGATGTCATACTTTAACGAACTCCCAGGGAATTCATCCGATCGACTTGCTGGTCGGTGAGTGTCATCTTAAGACCTGTGTGAAGTTAAATTGCAAAGCTTTTGAGTTTTCATCATAGGACCCGCCTGCTACAGCGCAGCGAATTTCGATCCTTTGCCCTGAAAATTTGATACAAAATCTCCAAATGACCCCAAAGTTTCTGTGTGTGATAACAGTCCAGCCCTGAACACAGTTTTATGCTCATATTTGGTTATACTCATAGCGCCTCCTTGTGGAAACAGGAAGTGTCCAGTTTTACACTTTCATATACTGCGATCGTATCTTGACCCAGACATGGTCAGAAAATGCTTAACAACTTGATGATGCACAATAGTGAAAACTGTGACTTTCCCCATGAAAATTCAAATCGCTATAACTCCACCATGCATGTGTATGGCCCCATGGCTCATACACATGATAAGAGTTCCGCCCTGAACAGACCTATGTGTATTTAGTTATACTCATAGCGATATGATTTTCTTTTTCTTTATTATTTCCTGGCCCTCAATAAAAGGGTCAGAAAATAATTTGTTGAAGATCCTGATGCTTCATGGATATCAATTTTAAGTTTTCACTTAAGGACGTGGCTGTGGCAGTGAGTTACATATGAATCAGGAAGTAGCTTAATGTCCATGACATATTGTCAAATTCCAAGATCATTGTTGGTTTATCCTCATCTTCAGACGGGTGTAACACTACACTGAAGAGCTTTTGAGTATTCATTGGACGACCCGCCCGTGGCAGCGCGGCGAACTTCGATCCTTCGCCATCAAACTCACTACCATTACTATACTATACTTTGTCCAATCTTCTCCAAACGTGGTCACAGTATGCTTTAGACCTAGATGATGCTTTCCTGTGAAAATTGTGAGTTTCAGTTGAACGGTGTGGACTCTGGACCACATTCAATTTTGATGCATGATGGACTCTGCTCTGCCTCTGATCTTACTCTGATCCTCTGCTTCCACCTTGTGGAACGTATTTGAGAATACAAGGAAAAATCCTTAATCTTCAGTGGCTTTAAGTCTATTGTATATTGTCCAATATTCCCCAAACAGGAATTAACTCTTGTGTGACAATCATTTAATTTACATGACATTTTCAGTGTAAACTCTGATACTGAGCCTCATGTGTGCCTATTGCTTGGTCTCTGGCTCCACCTAGTACACATAATTAAGAATGCATAAAAAATGCTTTAAATTTTTTCTGCTGCCGCACAGTCTGTGCGATAAGTCTCGCCCGTGAGTGCGGTGTACGGCGGTCGATATGATGTGCAACCACTTCAAATGGCGTGCTGCAAGCATTCCTCAATTTTCCCTTACGATATCTCTTTGCGACTTATGTCTGTGTCTGCACATGACCCTTCAGTCTCACGCCCTTTTAAAGGCATTTTCGGGCTTTTACCTATGCTTATTAGGGCCAACTGACACACACTTTCAATTTACGAGGAGATTGGCATTCATCAATCTAAGAACACAGGTGTGCACAATTCTGCGGTTTAAGAACACATTCATGAATCTGAAGTAGATTTTCTTAATTACTTTCTAAGAACAACTTAGGAAAGAATTTAAGTAAATACAAAAGACGATATTGGTCAATGAGCCCCATTATTCCCAAACAAGTTCCAAATCATAACCTTACAGTAACATGTCATCAGGCTTTCACTGTGCTTGATATACACTTATTCTAATTTTGATAAGACCGCACTGGAATATTCCTATAAATATCTTCAACATACTGTAGATTATCGTTGTTTGTTATCTTACAGACATTTCATACATTCCAAAGTTGCTGTTTGGTGAGATACTGCACATAAGAACAATGACCTTTGTGCATCTTCTCATTACAGAAGAACTCTCCTAGGTACCTGCAATGTTTCTCTTAAGAAGACCTCTCCAGATGGACTCTCCCAGCATGGTTCTAGACCCAGAGGGCTGCAGATTATCGGTCTGGACGGGCTGAACAGAGGTCTGGGGCTCATATCAGGGGCTTCTGTGGGTGATGAAAGATGACAAGATTTCACTTTCATGCAGCACTATGTTTTGGTTCTTAACTACATGGATTTGATTTTAATTTTGGAAAAACCAACATAAGAAAACCAGGTTTCAACAACAGAATTAAGAAATCAAGTCCGGTTTGTTTGGTCAAGCCTAGACAATGAATGAACATACTCTATATTTAGCAAAAGCAGCAATGATAGCAGATACTGAATTACAAAATAAAATGGTAATTAAAGATAACCCTTGGATTAATACATTATTGAAAACCTGGCATGAGACAGTAAAATTATGTGGCCTAGGTGATTCATCTAAACTGATATGGTGGTGTGCTTACAATACAGAATTTATTCGTAATAGATCTGATGATAGATTTTGAAAATGGATCACAAAAGGCTTGACTTATTCCACATTTGTTCACAAGGGGGTATTTCAGAGTTTTAAAACCATTGAGAAAAAAACATGGTCTGGAACAAAATGATTTCTATAAATCCCTTTAAGTTCGGCAAATCCACAACATGTAAAGAGAAGTGGAAGGAGAAGGAAAATTTTAACATTTTTCCTCATCGTAAGGTAATTCATAAACATATTAATAATGTATTTGGAGTCACCATTCCCTTTAGAATGTGATACTGTACAAATGGGTGACATCTCAGGCCAGGGTGGACTATCAATGATGAGAAACTGATCTGAATATTTCTGGCAGCAGGCAAAAAGGCTGTCACAAGGAAGTGGCTAAAATCAGACCCACCCACCATCCACAAAACCTCTGGAAGAGCTTGGCTGTAAAATGGTAATCAAACATACTACAAATTTTTTTTGTTTTTTAACGTGCACAATGCTATGTGAATCTACTTGCAGTAATAATACTATATAAAATGTTGAATGTGAAAGGAATGGCAAAAAAGAACATATATATTCCGCAAAAACTTGAAAAAGTCTAGAAAGTCATGTGCTGTAAAGAGGCGAGCAGCTAAGAGATGGCTGCTGCTGAGTGAGTTTAGCTACAGTGTCAAAAAGAAATCTAAGATTGTGTTTATTGTTACTGATGAACAGAGAAGTAGGCTGCTCTAGCAGTGGCGAGAGCAGTGGAGAGAGCACGCAGAAACAACACAGTAAAGTTCTTCAGATTTTGATTTGTGCCATTTGCACTCCAATCTCCTGCAGGCCTGCTTCAGGTCTCATGTTTCTTCAGTAAACCACGGTGTAGACCTCTTTAACCATCTGGTTTTTAGTGGTGAGAGGAGCAACTGAGTCCAAGAGGCTAGACAGAGCTGTGTTTAATATACTAGTACAAATTTCGATGGAATCAGTTGCTACAGTGAAGGGAGCGAGGGTCTCCAGTAGTTTCTCAGCAAGAGCAGCTACAGTTGCTGGACCAATGTGTCGTGTGGTAAATACATTTGAGCTAGTAATGTGTGGACATGCTAGTGTTGCGTCAAACTTGATAAAAAAAAAAGTCATCAGAGATTGCAGAAGTGACGGGAGAGACAGTCACAAACTCCACAGGATAGGATCAAGTCTACAGTGTTGCCATTGCAGTGAGTTGGTTCAGCCACAAACTGGGTGAAACCAAAAGTGTCAATAATTGCTTGAAAGGCTTTACTTAGAGCATCCTAGGCCTTATTCAAGTGAATATTAAAGTCAAAATAATTAGAATGTCGTCAGTGTCAGTGACAAGAACTAAGATAAATTCTTCTAAGAACTCTGAATAAGGGCTAAGTGGTCTTTAAAGTACTACAAGATGAAATGGTCATAGTCTGACATCCTGGAGAGGGCTAATCTTAGCTGATGAAGAAGATTTAAGTTTAAGAGCCTCCAAGGAGTTAAAGGTCACTTCCTGTTTAGTCGTTAACCTGAAATCTGAGTCATAGATTAAAGCCACACCCCCACTTTGCTTAGTGGCTCGAGCAGCATGTGCATTAGTATAATCAGGTGGGGAAGCCTCAATAAGAGGAAGAATAACATTTGGTTTAAGCCATGTTTCACAGAGACTAATCATATCCAGTCATTTAAACAAACTGTATCATATCCATACATAAATATAAACATTTTGTTTTGTCATAAGCAGACATCCATACAAAATAATACAATTAAAAAACATGACATTTCAACAGATTTATTTGATTAGAATTTTTTTTAGAACTTTACAATCAATTCTTTCATTGAACAACAAAAACATGAATGTTGAGTAAAATATTACTCATTCCCCCTCCCCCACCCAATCAATAAGTAAAAAAACTGTTCTTCACTTTTGCCACACCCTTTCAGGCAATGGCCTCTTCCTGGGCCTCATTAACATCCTCCATGTTCACCTCCTCAACATCCAACTCCTCTTCAGTCTCATTGTCCAGCCTTGTTGAGGATGGCTCTCTGTCAGGCTCAAAGAGCCTTAGGTTTGCCCGAACGGCCACCAGTTTTTCCACTCTCACATTTGTGAGCCTGTTGCAAAGCTTTGTGCGTGTGTTCCTGAACAGTGACCAGTTGCGCTCAGAGGTAGCTGATGATGGTGGGATTTGATGGATAATGGAGGCTACAGGTGCAAGGGCCTCAGATCCACAAAGTCTCTTCCACCAGGTGGATGCAGATATGTGCTGGCATGACTGCCAGATTCCATCCCCTTCCAAAAGGCCTTGCTTGGTTCGGTACTTCGCCAAACTGCCCAGAACTTTGCCTTTATCAAAGCCCAGGTGGTCAGACATGGCTGTAATAATAACGTAAGCACCATTAATCTCTTCCCCAGAGAGTATGCCCCTGTCATATTTTGGGTCCGCTGCTGCATGCACCGGCTTCATGCAGAACTCCCGGCGTTTCTCCAATGATTTGACCACAGTAGTTTTCTCTGCTTTGAGCAGTAGGGAAGTGGAAGCCAGGTGAGGCTAGCTGTTTGCCCTTCACATACTTCACAACTTGCCTCGCTCTCGTGTATAGTGTGTCCATTGTCTTCAGTGCCATGATGTCTTTCAGTAGAAGAGTAAGAGTATGGGCAGCACAGCCAATGGTTTATGGGGATTTTCCTCCCTAGACTTAGATTCTAGACTAGTGGACTCCAAAACTGCACTTCCTAAAACCCTAGCAGGCTCTCTAATCACCTGTGACCTGCTGAGCACTACGTCCCTAGTGTCAAACCTGCTGTAAATACCTGTCTATATTACAAGACAAAACAGCAGCGCCTTTTCCAGTAGGATGAAGGCCGTCTGCTTACAGGTGGTCAGGGCAGCCCTAGAAAGAAGGCCAGTTATCTACAAAACTACGTACCTGTTCTCTACAGTGATGGGCCAGCCAGCGGTTCAGAGACAGAAGCCTACTGTAAACCTCATCATTAGTGCCCCGCATGGGTAAGGGACCAGAGACAGTTAATCAATGCCGACTTATCATTCTGGCAAACTCAAACATCCTAGCAAGACTAGCTTCTGTGACCTCTGACTGCTTCATCCATATGTCATTGGCACCAATATGAATAACTACGTGGTTATAGCTAGAGCTAGTGGTGGAGAGTGCCTGGGTACCCTGTTTCTTTCTGTGTTATGCCAGCACCCTAAGATAACCTCAAAGTCAGAGGCTCTGGCCCCAGGTAGGCAGTAAATGCTGGCTGGTGAAGCTAGTCTAACATTGTGGGTAAATAACTTGCGTGTGTAGCTAAACCCTGTCACCCGAGGTGGAAGAGGAACGCAGGCCAACAGGATTACCAACAGGGCTGGCAAGGGTCAAAAACCTGTTTGCAGTCGGGAGGGGTGACTGCAGACCAGGCTATGCAACAGGTCACTCAGTCTTCAGAGCATTTCCACGCCCAGTAACAGGGACAAACTCAAAGTCTGCCGCAGAGGCTGCGTTAGGGCTAACACTAGCAGGCTTGTTGTCAAGCCAGAGGCTACAACTATCGGGAGTGCCCGTCATATCTAAAGTGAGGCTAGGAGACAACAGCTGCTCTAAATGACGGACACATCTCTCTAGTAGAGACACCCTGTCTGCGCAAGCGGAACAGCCAACACAAGCGATAGTTACAACAGTGAGGTAGCATTAGCTGAAAGGCTAGTGGGATAGGCTAAGCTAGGCTGAGCTAAGCAAACAAGCAAACACTTAAAAAGAGAGAATTCTGTTTAGAATCCTGTTTAAGATCCCAAGTGGGTTGAATCTAACACCCAGTGAATTTAGAAGATAGTGACAATTAACCAATCAATTGTAGAATCAGAGAGATTTAGAAGAATTAGAGTAAGGAGAGTCAGGAAAGACAGTAGAGAGGTGTTAACAATCTCACAGAAAATTTTGCATCACAGGAAGCAGCGTCACAGGAAGCACAAGCTAGTGGAAGGAGGGTCATCTCCAGGGGATCAACGAATGGACACCAGGCAACCTTGAGAGCATAGGCATAATCTCCAGTCGATATTTGTTTGTTTCTTTTCTAGAAAAAGCACCAAAAGGACTGATTATCACTAAGGTGTGAATCCTGGCCTCTCTGTGCTATGCATGAATATGCACACACACCAACCTCCCTTCCTCTGTCCCTCTCTGGATAACTCAAACTATAACCCACATTCCAATGCTAAGTAGTGACCAGCAGAACACTCTTCAGACACAGATCGGAGGAAGAATATATAATTAAATATCTAAGTGTTCTGTATCCCATGAGATGTTTCTATGTAATAGGTCAGTCCCAAACTTCTATCCTATATAATGACTGAAATGTAACATGTAGACTTTAAGACAATGTCTTTCCTGTGACCATACTGTCAGCTTCCTTCACACAAGGTAACACACACAACATGACATCCAAGTCAAGAACAACTGTACCAAAAACAAAAGAAGTGCCTCAGAGTAATTTTTGTAACTTTGTAATTATCATCAGGCCCCTTTTTTGAAGATTTGTGACAGTTTAGAGTCACCTGGTCAATGCCAGTCTCCTCTTAAGCTATCCAGCCAAAGTTAAGTGCATTAGAGTTTATTTCACATCAACCCGCGGGAGACACCAGCAGATAAGACATCTGGCCACAACCGCCTGCAGACAACCCTACCAGAAATCAAGAGTGCCCAAGATAGAAAGTCTCCTGGCAAACTCCACCAAGGCTGAACCGCTAAGACAAGGGCAGGATCAGTCACCATAATAACGGGACACGGCCTCCAGGAGAATCCACCACAGAAACCTCAGCCACCTGGGTTCCAGCCAAGGGTCTCCAGCTACAGCAGAACTCATAGTAGGTCTGTCTGATGTTGAAATATGACAATATTTAATCATCAAATCTGAATCGTAGATGTAGTGATCATTAGCTGTATAGCGGTTGGCTATAGCCATAACATATTGTCCCACCATTGCCAACTCATCATTGCCCATTTCATTATTATTTTCATCTTTATGATTATTACACATTGCATTTATTCGATACTAATCTAGTTAATAAACTTTTTTATTCGCACTCAGTCGGTGTCCTGTTGTGTTCATTTGGAGTACAAAAAATCAACTTAAGAAAATCACGGCTTCTGATATGAGAGTGATCACATTAATGAATGAAGTAATTCACTGTTGTCCTCCCTGAGGACTGGTGCCCTCTTTCAACGAGAGCAAATTCAAAGTTGTGGTGTTCACGCTACACAAGCAATGGTGCAAAACACTGTTTTCGAGATCTTTTATGTTATTATGAGAAGTGTTAACCTTTTTTTTTTTTTTATTCTATACTTTGCTTATTGTTCATTTTAAATTTACACACTAAACAAAAATTCATTACATTATTACCCCAAATTACACAACAGTCTCAGTAAAATTAAAAATAAAACTTAAACATAACTTTGAATATAGAGTTATACATATAAGTTGAATTAGTTATAGACAAGATTAAAAATAAATTGAGTAAAAATATATATGTAATCATTAAAATAAATAAATAAAATAAATAAATAAGTAAAGCCTGCAGTGTCCAAACAGGCCAAAACTTTTTAGATTTGATGAGACTCCCTCCCTGAACACCTCTACATGCTCATATTTCGTAATACTCATAGCGCCACCAAATGGAAATATAGGAAGTGGTTATAACTCTTTGATACTTTGTCCAGTATTCCCCAAATTTCACATGTTTGATGTCAGTCTCACACTGAAGACATCTGCATACTAATATGGTCTGATACAGAGCCTCATGTGTGCCTATTATCTGGTCTCGGGCTCCACCTAGTGGTCACAATTAAGAATGCATATAAAAATCCTTTAAATCTTTCCTGCTGCCACACAGTCTGTGCAATAAATCCTACCCCGTGAGTGCAGTGTCCGGCGGTTGTTATGATGAACGACTGCTTCACATGGTGTGCTGCAAGCCCCCCGAGATGCGCAGGAGTGGACCCTATTGAAATTGTGTTTTTTTACGGCCCGAGCACTGACTGGTGTGAGGACCCTATTGATACCTCACTGTTTATTAGGACCCGAGCGCACTGGAGAATGCGACGACCCTATTGAAACTGCTCTGTTTTTAGGGCCCAAGCACCAACCAGTGAAGGGACCCTATTGAAATTGCTCCGTTTATTATTAACCCATTCATACCGGATGCTGCGCAGTGCAACATGACCCCTCCCGCCGGTTGCTGCGTAGCGCAGCATTGTTGATTCCTCGTCATTTTCATGATATATTCATACATATTTTACATATTTATATGCTGCATGCGTCATGAAAATGACGAGGAATCAACAATGTTGCGCTACGCAGCAACCAGCGCAGCAACCGGCGGGAGGGGCAATGTTGCGCTGCACAGCATCCGTTATAAATGGGTTAAGGCCCAAGCACCAAAGAGTGCTCTGACCGCTGCGTTGCCGTGCCGATCCTTCGCCATGAAAATTCAACTCACTGTATCTCAGCGTGCACTGTCCAAACAGGCCCCATGGCTTATATATCTGATAAAGGTCCCGCCTTGAACAGACCTGTATGTCTATATTTAGTAATAATTTGTAAATAATTTGTTGAAGATGCTGATGCTTCATGGATGTCAATTTTAACTTTTCACTTAAGGGTGTCTCTCTGGCGGCGAGTTAAATACGAACCAGGAAGTGGCTTTTTGTCCATGACATATTGTCCAATTCCAAGATCATTAATGGTTTATTCACATCTATGCAATGCTACACTGCAGAGCTTTTGAGTTTTCGCCAAAGGACCCCCCCGTGGTGGCATGGCAAATTCAATGCTTCACCATGAAAACATCACCTGGCTATAACTGAAGCAAACATTTTCCAAACTTGCCCAAACCTTATAGCAATGATAAGAGTCTCGCCCTGAAGACATCCACATGCTCATATTTAGTAATACGCCACCCAATGGCAATATGAGATATATATTTTATAATTTCATGTTTTACTCCTAGCAGCCCTCATCAAAGGTGGTCAAAAAATACTTCTTCCCTTGCTGATGGTAAATTGTGAAAATAATGCCTTTACATTTAAGGGCGTGGCTATAGTGGCGTGGCAAATTCCCAACAGGAAGTAGGTCTAAATCCATTATAGATTGTCCAATGTGTGTCAAATGTTTTGATCCTACAGTGCGAACATTGTGAGTTTTCACTTAAGGGCATGGTTTCTGTGGTGTGGTGAATTCTGAAACAGGAAGTGAATATAACTATGATACTTTGTCCAATCTGCCTCAAATTTCACGTTTGATGACTCACACTGTAGACATCTGCATAGTAATTTTAAGTCAAACTCACAGCGCCACCTACTGAAAACAGGAATTAACTCTTGTGTGACAATCATTTAATTTACATGACATTTTCATTGTACAGTATGATAAAGAGCCTCATGTGTGCCTATTGTGTTGTCTCTTGCTCCACCAAGTGGTTACAATTAAAAATGCATATAAAAATACTGTACATCTTTTCTGCAGCCACATGGTCTGTGTAATTAATCTTAACCCTGAGTGCAGTGTCCAGCAGTTGTTATGATGTATGACTGCTTCAAATGGCGCGCTGCAAGCCCCCCGAGGTGCGCAGGAGTGCAAGGGCCCGATCAACACTGCTTGCAGCTTTAATTATTGTTATTATTGTTAGACGTATTATTATTGTTATTAGTCTCATTATTGCTGTTATTTGACATATTCCCTGTTGTCTTTTTATTACTATTGCTCTTATTATCATTCTACATCTTTATGTGGAATCTGCATTCTGCTGTGTTCTATGGTCTAGACCTGAGATAACTTCTGTTATGATTCGGTGTTATATAAATAAAACTGAATTGAACATTGAAAACTCCTACACTCACAATACAGTACATCACTCAGTCTTTGCACAGCAATTTCGAAACACTGAGAATTTGGGAACCTACCAGTGTATGTCAGCCTGTCGGGGACCTGCATAGTGCAAGCAGGTGAGTGCTCCTCGGGCCACCTCATGGCCTCACCTACTTCCTCCACAAACTGCTGCTGCCTTGGGCCAACACTCAGGTGTTCTGGGACACGCATGTTTTTGTTGATGACATCCATGAATGCTGCATCACGACTAGGGACCTGGGACATTTCCTATAGTTACAAAGTGAAAGCCATCATCATATGAAAACACCTGTACAAGCAAAAGTTTCTAGTTTATGCATAATTATTTACTTAGTCAGAAATCCAGAGTATCTTTCACTGACATTATAAAGCATCCTCCTCATTTGTGTTTTCATCTTGGTTTTATAAGTGCTTTTAACACCTGACTGAGGAACACTGAGATGCAAAAAGATTTTGCAAATGCACCTGCATAAGTAACTCAGCAAATTTTAATGCATGCATCTATTTCATGCAATGAAATAAATATAAATAATGAAATAAATAGGAGTGGCCAACAGGAAGGAAGGTTAGGCTAATTGTTAATACAACTTAACAGACATCTAGGTGGTGGGTGGGACCATGGATGAGAAGGATGAGCCATTAATATATGATCACATACTTAAAATGTGGCTATAGCATCTTGAAATCCTTCTTTATTTTGCTTTTTCATCAGATGACGTAACCAGGCTTCAGAGAAAAGGTTAACAATCTCTCAAGTACCAATTAGCATAGGGAGGGTTCCTTTTTCTTTTACAAATGAATGGATTATACATTCCAGAAATATACAGTCCAGAAATGTGCACTCAATATTCATGTCATAATCTCATATAATTGTTCTCAAAGTCAGGTTGCAGAAAACTTTCAGCTTGGGTCCTTGAGGTTAGCTTAAGGCTGTTGATTTAATATTATTTTCATATATTTGTTTTAAAAAAGTGTATAACATATATTTGATATTTTTAATTTATAAAATTACCCCCCCCCCCCATACCATGGCTAATACTGTTGATCAACTTCTTCACAACTCGTTTTATCTCGCATTATCATCACAACTTTACAAAGGAAAACCCTAAATGCGTTGATCCAGAGGCTCAAGAGGCCCAACATTATTGACAGCGCCTGTCTCGCTGTCAACAATCCAAGTCAACAGTATTTTCCCGCAGAGCAGCACGTTACCCAATATAGCCGACTAAGGTTAGTTAGCTAGCAACAGGTTGCTGCCGATAGCTAACAGGAGGTCAAATTTCACACCTCCTGACAGGACACACTTCTGAAGTCAGTAGCATCAGATGTATGTGTAAAAGCACGTACGAAGTAAAACAACTCAATAAAGGTTTACAAACCTTGATTAGGGTGACTCAGTCACTGTCCAACAACTGGTCTGCTTGGCTAACAACCTATGTACTTCCAACTCTTATGGTCAGAATCCTTCGGAATAAAAGTGTCCTTCAGAATAAAAGCACCATGGGGGCAGATGGTATCTGGCGCATGAGCGAAGGTGAGCTGCAGCAGTGCGTAGCGCCGACGTGCTCTTGCTGGACTTGGATACAATGCATGCTCGTTAGAATTTTGTCCGACTTCCTCCGGTGCTGCAGACCAGACCGTCATCACGTCACATGACATTAAAACCTCGCGGGAGCAAGGCAGCAGCAGTTTTTGTTTTTTTTGTTTGTTTTTTTAATGCTTTATTATTTAAAACATCTTCCATTTCATCTTATTAAAGCTATTAAACATTGAAAATGGAGGAAACAATCTCAACTTCTGAAATAAAATAACATGAGAAAAACATCCTAAAAGGATGTAATAAATCAAGAGTTATCGTTGGCATTTTCTGAAACTTTGCCGTTAATATTTAATTTAGTCAAGGAGAAAAGTTCTGTTTCTTTTTTTCAAGTTAAAAACAAATTCAGTATTCTTTTCTCCTTCTTCCAGCCATTTCCTTCTAGATCTTACAAAAACTCATTTTGCCTTATCTTCGTAAACTTGCTATAATTCTAATTGTAATATTGTTAAACTATCTTTATCTTGTTGACATAGATGTTGCTTTCCATATATCATAATAATTTCTTTAATTATATATCCTCTTTTATTCGTTAAGCATTTGCTATTTGCTCTCCCCTCCGGATAGCCAATCCTCTGATTTTATATTTCATAAATTCCCAGTGTCCAGCATACGATTTCAATACCTTAGCCTTAGTCCAACTTTCATTAATTATTATTTTAGCAGCATCTATATGTGGATCCCGTTAAATTAGGTTGTTTGATTTCCAATAACTTGTGTTGGGTTTCTTTCCTCCCACTGTCTTATTCAATATATACTGTCTTGGAGTCCGTTGACAGACTGTTTGTTTGTTTGTTTGTGTGTGTTTTTGTTTGTGTGTGTTTTTGTTTGTGTGTGTTTTTGTGTTTGCGTGTGTGTGTGTGTGAATCTGGCTGTGTGTCTGGCTGCGCTTGTAAAACTTATGGAGATCAATCAGGCTGTTAACGAGCATATCCTGTGTACAGCTGGAAGACAGAGCTCACATGAACATGTGACATGAACACACAAACTTACATAGTGCTGATTTGTTTCATTTTTGATCAATCCCACCAATAATAAAAAGTAACATTTCTGGCTTGATAGCAATGTATAGTGGGATTGCTGAATGAAGCAATCCCACCAATAATAATAAAGATTTGAAGAACAATAGTGTGTCTCAGCAGTCACACTAATAAAGAGAAACATTTTTGACCTGACAACAACATAGAGTGGGATTACTTCATTCAGCAATCCCACCAATAAACGGAATGTTTGGAATGTTTGCCTCAGCATTCACACTAATAATATATGCCTTCAATGGTATTGCATTGCAGGCACATAATAAGTATGCAGAATAATAATATATGCCTTCAATGGTATTGCATTGCAGGCACATAATAAAGAATAAAGAAAACACAAAATTCAATAAAATTAGCCCACTTTACCTCAACCACTTCCTTTGGCTGAGGATCTCCTAAACCTCAGTCCTGCAGTGCAGCAAGATGAGACATTTGAACTGCCAGAATGTTGAGGAGAGGGTGCTTGGTATTGTCCAAGATGGCCTGCATCTTACACTGCATGCATCTATCCACATCAGTCCTGAGTGAGTCCAGACCCAGGCCAAGCACAGACCCAGCCTTTTCTACCTGCTTGTCCAGTCTCCTTGTGTTCATGTAATAAAAAAGCATAAAGAAGGAAACCAACCACTACTGATTGATAAATATAAATATAGCACCTTTGAAATGTTCATAGTCACAACCACTGGATGGCGTGCTTAGCTTTAAATCTATACAGACTGCTCTAGATTACTTTCCCAAAATCACTGGAAAATAGCATTTTTTTTTATTATTCACATTCGCTAATATTTGCCATAATTTCCTCTAGGCGCATTTCCTGGATTTGCCTGCGACAGGTGTGTCGAATATCTACAATATATATGTTCTGCATATCCCATCACATATCCTGCACTTCTTTCAGTGCCTCTGTATGTTTCCATCTATCTTTAGAGGCAGTGGACATAAATGCAATGTTGATAAAAATACATTGTTGATACTCAAATGACTGAAATGAATCACAGTAAAGAACGTTCCACTCTTACTGCTGAACACAGACACACCAATATTCTATCACTCTTTAATTACATTATGGACAGTTTGTTTATGTTGCAAATCTTTGCGTGATAAATTGTTTGGTATTCTATTGATCTTAGCATTAGAGTTATATGAGACAAAAGTGGACTCAGGTGTCTGAGAGTGGGTGTCTGGCAGAGCCAAGTAAGGGCTTCGTGTATAGCAGAGCGCAAGCTAGAGTGGGGGTGGGGGGAAGGATTTCGAGTCCGAAAGCGGTGAGTTCAGCAGAAGCCTGCAGCCGATGCCGCTTCATTGTAGGTTACCAGGGACTAAGAGGAGCGATTCAAGTCTTTGGTGGATGTATTTATCCTCCCTTTGTTGGGAAAGTGTAAAAGAAAACGGGAGGCTATATGTCTTTACTTGAGCTACCAGGCTCTTTTGCAGTCATGTTCCCAGCGTTTTCTCTGCCCATGAAAGCGGAGCGCAGTCGAAATAAGGAGCGGCTGGAGGCCAGTCTGGCCGGTTTGTGTGAGTTAGAGCTGCTCAAACAGAGGCAAGAATGCAGGGTGCTGAGCGCTCTCTGCCTCGGGGACGCTCCAATTCCTGGGCGTCCGCCTTGGGGAGCTCTACGGTCGGCATGTTGCGCCCTGGACGCACCAAACGGCAACGCGTCCAACGAAAATGGCCTCGGACTCCAAAATGTAAGTTCTGTTTGCTTGATGATGGTTCTTTGGTATTGAAGTTGGTAAAATCAATATCCTGCTTGTCTGTTTCCCGATGTGTTTGTAAAATTTTGCAATTGAAGGACCCCGCAAAGTGATACTTATTTGAAAACATACCCTTCTGCTTGATTAGGTTTGGTCTTATCAGAAGGTTTTGCGTTGTCAGATATGACTTGGCCTTTATGTTTGTTGTGGGCAGAGGAGTGTGCAGAGTCGGGGTAGTGACAGCAGAAAGGGATCTTTTTCTACATATTTACTAAGGGGTTACGTCAGGCAGTGAAACATTTTCCTGTCTTTCAGTTTCTTCTTGGAGGTCCCTGTTATTTTTTCATGAAGACTGCCACACTGTAGATTGCATCAACAATTTGGGACTCTTTGAAATCTATTTCAAAATCAACATCAGTGTTTCCAGATTAACTTTTTCTATGTTTGGTAGAAAACAACATATGGTAATCTATTTTATGGAAGACATAATACTTTTAGGGCCTGTTTTCCATCAGCTTAATGTCCTCAGCGGATGATGCTCACAAATATGAAAGACAACCCTCAGAATAGACGGGTTTGGATCCTCAAGCAGGCAAATGACATTGCTGCCGAAATTTCAACATAATATCAGTAAAATTCACAATGTAGCACTGAAATAACATCTGCAGTTTGAGATAGTGAAGCAGACCTACAAGCCTGGATGCCATCTGACTTGATTTTTAATTACAACAATAAAATGAGACGTGTGTATTTTTCACTTGGTTTCTGCAGGAGTTGTACAGCCCCAACCAAAGAACACAGTTGTACATGTGCTTAATGAAAATTTTGTAAATTATTGGAATTGAAAAAAAAATTTAAGCATATAATGAAACTGATATGATCTAGGATACTTGCAGTTTCCCCAAGGGTTGGTGAGGATACAAGCTTTTAACTTTGTGTAGCAATAGTGAGACAAATGTTTTCCTGAATAAAGGATGCAGCAGATAGACAGATGCCACTGTCTCCACATGAAGCAGCTAAAATGGTTAAAAAATATATTTGTAATTTTTTATGGCTGTGACATATTCAGATTCAGCCTAGACATAGACAGCTATTATGGAATATGTCATATTGACATCATACCAGCAACATTACATAAAACTGACTGTAAACAGGTCTTTTTCCTGTTTATTTTTGCTTGTAGATGCACGTGTCACGCATGAAAAATAGACGAGATGCAGTATCACTAGATCATGCAACGCAGCTGCGAGACGTGTTACACAGGCAGTTTGTTCGCACTAACCCATTAAGATGGGCAGCAAAATGAAAACCAAGGCGTTCTGCAGCCCACGCCACACATCCAGTGTGTTTCTGGCCTAAATTTTTTGCTCAACGAAGTATAACAATTAATATATTAAACGCCACAGTGAGTCCTTTGAAGCGGGAGTGTAGGACCTTTAAATATATGTAAACATCTGTTACATTGAAGCAGTTGCCAAATAAGTTCACACAAAACTGATCAAGCCTATCAGCTACAGGTAAATCTCTCTGTATTCCTTAGTATACCTGAGTTTGGCGACTTTCCCAAGCTGTACATCGGTTATAATGCTTTGTGTATCAACCAGTGAGGGTGTTCTGTTGGCTATAAGTACATTGCAAACACATCTGGAGGCTCAAATAAGCACCTGATGGTAGGGCTGCTCAATTATGGCAAAAATCATAATCACGATTATTTTGATCAATATTGAGATCAAGATTATTCAGCTCGATTTCTCATTGACTTTGGAAAAAAACTGAAAAAAACTGATTTCAAAACAAAAAGCGTTGTGTTTATGTAGTTATTCCCGTTATACACAATATAAGTTAAAGATATGAGCATAATACCCCCACCACGAACCACCACCGACCTGAAACTGAATTTCAAAATGACAGTTCAGATGATGCTCTGTCCTTTTCAGACTGAATTTCCACATCACACATCCAGAACAATCAGCTGGATAATGGTCAGTTTCATCATTAACCCGTGTTGGTATAATATAGTTAACTCTGTGTGTGGGCTCCAGGCTGTAGCGTACAAAACACACCTGAAGCAATGATGGATGAGCTACGAACTAGTTGGTAGAAAACTGTACATTTCTCCATCTGTATGTGACGGACTTTCACCGAGGTCGCTCATGTTTCCTTGTATGAAAAAGCCATTTAGTTGTCTCAGTTGTCACTAAGTGCAGGGTCTGTGTGTGTGATGTGCACGGTGCTCCAAGTCGCAATTAGGGGAAAATATGATACAACGTACTATAAATTATGCA